ACTCGCCTCCTCCATCTGGGTGGCACCCCCATGATTGGAAACCGCACTCCAAGGAAATATTAATTTCCTCGAACTTGTCGCCGCATGCTTGCCGCTGCTTATATGGGCGCCGCACCTGTCGGGTTTCCGTGTAGTCATAGAGTCTGACAATACGCAAACGTTTCGTTTGTTAATCGCGCTTCCACAAAAAATCCACCTGGTGGCTTAAACTTATATTTTACGCCTCGGTTGCTTTTAAATTCCGCGTATGCGCTTCTTACCTTCCTGGGAAAGAGAACGTTATAGCTGACGCCTTAAGCCGCGCCACAACCGAACCGCACCTTTTAGACAAAGTTTTTGCCGGAAGCCACCACGCCCTTCCTGACTTATCTAGTGCTATAATCTACAGGTATCCAAACGCGGAAACTGGACAAACGGCAGCGGAAATTGTGGAAAACCTCACTTGCACCCTCATCACTGCGAACCAGAAAGAGCCAGTGGAAGATATACCGGCACTTCTGCAAAAGCATTTCAGCCCGCCCATGTCCCGCAAGCACTAAAACGCTCTGCCGCTTTATCGCCCATCTTTCGCAAAAAATGCAGTATTCCTCTATTCGGAACTATCTCGCTAGCGTTGTTTCCCTGTACCATCGCGAAGGGCTGGAAGCTCCAGACCTTTCCCATTTCCGCATACAGCAAACGCTACGCGGTATCAAGCGCAAGAAAGCGCTAACCCCCAACGCCAGACTTCCCATCACGCCCGAAATTCTGTACAAAATCAGAGATCATTTAACCATCTTGCCATAGCGCTTTCGCAAGCCCTTCTGGGCTGCCGCTCTGATTGCCTTTTTCTCTCTTCTTCGAAAAAAGCAAGCTGCTTCCACATTCCAAGAATTCCAAATTCTTACGCGTGAGTGGAATACAGTTCACACCAGGCGGCCTTATTGTAACCGTCCCGGCTATTAAAACAAACGTTCGTGCCGCCACTTTGGTTACGCTACCAATACCGACGATTCGGGATTCGCCGCTGTGCCCAGTCCAGGCGGTCTTAGCTTATTACAGCAAATTAAGCCGGTTTCAGCATGCGTTTTAACGCACGTTAACGCAAACGGGAAATTACATCAGCTTACAGCAGAAAGTTTCAGTACTTCCTGAAACGGACGCTGATAGCCGCCGGATACAACCACACAGGGTACTCGCTACACAGTTTCCGAAGAGGAGGTACCACCTTTGCCGCTGCCGCCGGAGTAACTGCCGAAGAGCTGAAGGCGCAGGGATCATGGGCCAGCAATTGCATTGAACGATACGCCAGTCACGCCTCTGACCTCCGCTCCTGTTTTGCCAAAACTGTCGCGTCCAACTTGGAGGGATTTTGGCGTCGTTAGGGCGCTGCGCACCGTGTTGTTTGTCGGCACTACAGTGCCCTGTTGTACCCCAAGTTGTGTATTTGTTGTATTTCGAATAAAGTTAAGTGGTATGCGTTTATTAATCGAATAAAGCACCATGCACAACCGTCAGGGATAGTCCATCGGTGTGCCTCCTAGATCTCATACTGCCGCGATTGCAATTTGAATGCGCTTTCTGATCTTTTTCTACCGTATTTGTGGTACTTTGGGCAAACGGCAAAATGCAATATGACCTTTTAAAATTTTATATGCCAGAGTTTACTTACGAACTCCGTGCATGGCCAATACTTGCAAACAATTTAAAGGAAATATTAATATCAAGAGTTTCAAAAATATCAGTAATATACAGTGGACACACTCTGGGACCCACAGCGTCACTCGCTTATACGTGGTGCCACATTTTATGCGGCATCTGCCACCTTTTATCGTTTGCCAGTTGCCAGAGTCTCCAGGTTTAATCGCTTGCCATGCCGTTGGCAGTGCCAGTGGCAAGTGCCACTGCCACATTTTAACCTCTGCCATATCATCACGACAGCTTAAACGACGCATTAATTACTACAATGGTCTGGTCGGGGGTAAATGTTTTACTGTATCATATCCACCACATAAATGGCAGACATTGATTGCATGGTACCGTAGTATCAAACTTGCCTAAATTACGAGATTCACAATTAACAGAAAACATTTAAACAATCATTCCGCAACAGATACACGCAAATCACAATAAGAACGCTTCCTCTATGTTGTCACCCTGCTGAGCATTTTAGCGAAGTCCATGCCTACCCAAATCGTCGACTTGCATGCCGCAAACACAGGGGTGAGGAGTCACAATAGGCGCTTCCACGTAAAGCGACACAAAATCGAAAGACCGTGTTGTCCAGTAGGTTTCCAAGACAGGCAGCGGGATGTGCATGAACGAACTACACACCGGTTTCGGGTACCGATACAGCTTCGAGATGAACTACCTGGTCTGTAATCTGCGGGACCAGGTAGCTCATAGCTGCAATGGTTATCTTACTCCGAGTGGTCCATCGACCAGTCTTGGATGAGTTGGATCAGCATCTTCCCAATTACGTTTGAGAACATCGGTCTGAAAACCGCTGTCGTGGAAAGCTCATAAACATCCAGTTTTTTTAAAGGCATAAATGCTCACACAAATTTTTCTCACAGTTAGAGCTGAAAAAAACGTCGAACAAGATGCCACCAATTGGAGACCTATGATAATGTGTTGCTGTATTTGACCGGCTGCCCTTGACTTACAAACGTCAACACCGACGACATCCAGTACACCGTCAACCGGATGGCATCATAGCGGATGTGTGCACGATGGAGCCAGTTGCGACCATTCCGGAGGGAGGCTACATTCCATGCCGCCGACGCAATGCTTGTCCGCAAATTAGGAAGAAAACGGTAACCATATGGTGAGCTGGACGGGGGCGCCCGATAACCACCGGTTACTGGTTAGGCAGATTTGGCATGACACCGTTATGACTCCTGCGTTATGCGTGGCCTGCGGCTCGCTGTATTCATTAACTTTTTAATGTGAGTTCGTGCAAGTTGTTTTCTTTCGCATCAGTTTTTATCTTTTCATCCAGTGTCATGTATTGTTACCGCGAATAAATGTTTTTCGTTAATAATGTATGGAGCAGCAGTAAGGCCACATCTCAGAAATTCGATGTGCATTCCTGATTCCTCAGCATAATTGTATCATTCATCGTAAAATAGCCACCAGCATTTCCATACACGTGACAGGTACAGTATGCCGCACATTGTCGAGGAAATTCTTGGATACAGTACACGTTTTTCTTGTAAACTGTACTTAATGTCTGCGCTGAAAATTAGTTACACTGGAAACAGCTGTTAAGAGTACTTTTCCACATATTATTTCTAGACGCGTTTCTTGGGTGCTAAAATACTGGACATCGCCAGCGATAACCCAAAGTAAATGCGGAATGTTTCACCTACGTGTAGCATAACTATACTTACGTATGCGTACTGGTAATTTGATGTGCACGTACTTGCTTATATCTCGCAGATGTTCTGCTGCTAATAATGCTAAACTTGATCATGTGCATCGTCGCTTTCGAGCTTATATCGCTTACAGTAGGTGATCCGAATCGCATAAATATGCAGTTATGCCAAATAATACCAAAATGGCAGAAGCAGGAACAATTGTGAGAACATAATAAACCCGAAATCGACCCGGACACAACGGATCGTTCTCGCGTACGATAAAACGTTTCACCGCATAACAGTCTGCCGCAGGAAACTTTTAATTTCGCAGCGGCATTTTCGAGGTTGCAACGTCGTATGGCGAATACAATTTGTAATTCTCCAATTTTCCGTTACAGAAGGTAGGAAGGAATATTTGCAGGAATTCAAGTGTTGTGCCTTCAGTGGTGGACCACTTTTATGGATTTCGAGTTTGAATCCACATAAGTGGTCCTCCGCTGTCGGCTGTGAGAGGGCTCGTATTGTCAGGGACTGCTGATGCACTGCAACGGTAATGCCTCAACGCCTCAACGCAATGACAAACGAGAACCAAACCTGTGCTAGTGATTATGCACTAGTGATTATGCACATTAGTGACTTTTGACATTGGCCATGATAGACAGTATAATTCACTTACAGGTACTTATTTATACGCATGCTATGTTGGTTTTAACACTGCAAACTGTCCTTGCACTGTGCACACAAACAATATTTAATCGGAGTGACTATTTTGCCACAGTATCTGCGGCCAGTTAGCTTGTTGGCTATTTTGCCGCACACTGCGGGTGTTCAGCTTGTCAGCTATTTTGCCGCCGTCTGATAGCTGGACTACTATTTTGGCTATTTACATGAAACCAAAACCCACATACATTATTTAGTTACCTAATTTCGAAAAACTTCCAAAATAAAACCGTGGGGGAAAAGGAAAGCAAGGACATCGTAATCGCCTTATTGTAAAGATTTCACCAAGTCACAACCGTAAATAACTACGAGTATAATAAGTACTGTACACAATATCGCGTAACACTGTATACAAGGAACTTGTCAAAAAAGACAAAACGATTCGCACTAAACACACTCAGCGCATGAAGACTTTAACCGAAAGGTAGGAGACAACGACGCGCCCGAGTCAAAATTCGGGAAGAAGAATAAAGACAACGCTATGCGCAGGAGTTTTTCGTTTTTAAGAAAACTCTGTACACCAAAATCGTACTAGAAAAAGTCGTGCAAATTCAGTTTGCAGTGTACTAATGAGTTGTAGTACAATAATTCATGTGTGCGTTGCGTTGTGGTTCGCATGCACATTATTTGGATAAGTACGTGTACAGTACAGGTATTGTTTGTAGGTACTGCACACCACACGTGGGTCAGTACAGCACCTATTCTAAGTGCTCTTGTGTTAAAAGCAATCCCGTATGCCGTCAATTCGCGTTTAAAATTCAGCACTTTATGCAAACTGCTGCACAGTGTGCATCCATCCACATATACCTAATTCCGTGAATCGGTAAAACGTCAGTACTTTATGTAACGTACTGCCAGTACTTTGTATTTCCCACATGCTGTTCATCCGTGAATCGGTGAAAAGTTGGTACAGTACTTCAATTATGCAAAGTACTGCCAGTACTTTTTACTTCCAGATGCCGTGAATCCGTGAAACGCTGTAAAGTCATCACTTTGTGCAAGGTACTGCCAGTACTGTGACGATTAAGTGATCCCGTAAAAGTTCAGTAAAGTTCGAATTATCGACCAAAGGTTTATAGAAATTTTTTAGGCAGCCCAAGGATTTGTTTACGTCGCTTTCACTCATTTCACTGCCAGGTCTTTAGGAATATCGTTCGTGTGCAAGAGCAGTAAGCAAGTCTTACATTAAAACAGCTGGGTCAGTAACATGCCCAATATACAAAATCTGACCATTCAAGTAATGACGAACAAAAAAAGCAAACGGCCGGTTGGCAATGAATTCAGCCTTGTATGGTGGGAAGTAATCCATGTTTTCTAAGATTTTTCTTTCTGGTTTGATCGGCAGCGCGTCTCCAACTCCACGCTCATCCAATGCTGAACGGAACAAAGACAATCATTTGTTACGGCGAAATGCGAAATCGTTTGTAGTGGCCTATCACCCGATTGAACTATACAAAATATACGGTGCAGTGTACGGTCACATCGCCCACTTACAAAAGCTAATTTTCTGCAAAAACGAAGTTACACGCAAAGGTTTGCTCAGTTCATTGAGAGGCATTCTGACTCCAAGCTCACTCAGCACAGTCTCCAACTGTACTTGTTTTGCTATTCGAAATTTTGGAATTTGAACGGTGACTTCTTGAACGGTGTGGTATCTCAACTGTTGACTGATCGTTGTCAATTTTTCTGGTGTCAGCAAATCAGTCAGCTCACTCAGGGTCCTGAAGCGCTTTCCAAAACAAGGGCAGCGCTTTTTTCCGGGCAGTACAAAAATCGCTTTCCACCAGTCGTCTTCGAAGGGCACCTCCAGGAATTTTGCCCCGCCCATGTCGTCCGGTATCCAGCACGGACATTTTAGCTTGCCGTGTAGCGTATCCACTTCCCGACGAAAGCCGTCCGCCGCCGTGAATTCCATTTTGAATGTTCGGTGTAAACCAAATGGCCGGTGCCAGTTGGAGCGAAAATGAAGCGCGTTTACAGCCACCGCATTTCCTGGTGGAGTCGCAGGAAACACTACGTCTCTGACGCTTTCCAAAGTATGTTGTTGGATGAATTCTGTCAGACGATCTATGTTTTCGGAAAAAATCATTGGCAGAATTTCAGGATTCAATATTTTGCTGAACTTGTCTGCATAGGGCTGATGCGCAGGAGCATTTGGTGGCAGCAGTACGGCACAGGCCAAATAAAGACGAAAATTTTCATCTTTCCCTGCAATGCATTTCTTGTACAAAGCAGCGCTTTCCGTAAAAATTACGCCGTAACACTTTAATTTTTCGCGTATTTTGGTAACTTTGCGTACTGTATGTGCTTTGATGTGTGGTTTATTGATTTTCAAATTGCGACATTACAGTCGTAAGTCCATTAAATACGGCCATCATTCACAATTAAGAATTAAAAAATATATGCTTTTATATTTTACTTGTGATTCTTTTGTATTACCCACGGTGTACTCCAGTTACCAGCCTTGTTATTTTTTTTGGAGATTTTATGGAGATTTAATGATGTTTGCGTTTAAAATTCATTAAGCGACGTTTTTGGTATGACTGCTAAAGTGCCAGTACTTATTCATTTTTTTAGCATCGCGTTGTTAGGAAGTGTAACACCTCGTAACCAATAGGAAAACGAACAATTCAAGTTGCGAAAAAATGCGAAGTACAGAAAATAAGTATAGAAAAAAAGTACAGAAAATATTCAAAAGTATAGAAAGTATTTTGGCACATTTTTTGTGCCAAACTAAAGTATGACTCTGTGACATATACTGTATTTCTTTCCACTAACGGAAAGCTCTTATTAATTGTTAATACGCCTAGCTCTACAACTGATAACCTATTTTTATTGAAACATATCGTCGATCACGGTCTGTTAGCCCGCGAGCTGGAACTCAGTGAGACAAGTAATTCGAGTTTTTCTTCAACTTACGAAAGAACGCACGATAATTACCCAACTAATTTTATGTCCGGTTGATCATAAAAGCATGAATAATGTGGCAGTACACCTTCGATCGGAAGCATTAATACCAACCGCAAACAAAATGAAAATGATGCCACGGCACATCAGCAGTTTGCTTCTCTATGTGCAGATGGTGCAACTTGTTTCTATCGCCTAGGATCATACATACGCAGTGATAGGGTTCACACTGCACTGAAGTTGCTGCGGAATCTTTAGTGTGAAAATTGCCCAGTTAAAATTGTACTGCTGAGATTTCATTACAGAACTACAGTATATAAAATAATTTTTTATGAGGGTTAAAACCGCATATATGTAAATATACTGTAAGTATATACCTTCAGGATTGTTAGGTTGACAGTTTTTGTCTTCATCCAGTTTCAGTTGCCGCAGTTCAGTAGATATTCTTTCCGCCATTGCCATGGCGTCCACACCCAACAACTTCTCAATGTCCGCGTTTTTTCTGTCGTCTGCGCCAGTGTACAACGCCAGCAAAGTTATCTCGGCACAGAATGGCGAAATCAAGACATTCCGCCCACAACCAGCATGGTCAAGCAGATATTTGTACAAATTTCTTGATAGTCGGGCATGCTGGCAACAGTACGGGCTGAACGGAAAGTTCTCCAGTACCATGATGCCCTAATACAGGCAAACTGAGGCATTGGGAAACCAAGTCAATTATTATATGAAATCTTCCGCAATAAATTAAATCACATGCTTGATGGATACACTTATCAGGAACTATGCACCCAGCTGTATAATCTTAATAATTCTGCAAAATAAAAAAATCGTGAAATGCCCATAATATTTCAATAATGTTATAAGCGTACGTCAATTCGCTGCCTTGAAAACATGATACTGTTCATGAGTAGTGGTACGGTGGGGGTGCTTGAAATCCGATCGATTGCGGCATAAATAATACGCACGCAAATTGCATGTGGACTATTTCAAGCCGCAGTCAACATCAGACTCGCTTTCTTGCTTGCCCCAGTACACTAGTATTGTAGACTAAAGTTAACAGCAACGGATGAGTCAGTCAGAAACATGTCGATTTGCTCTATTTGTCATCTGCGAATTAAAAACGCAGCTCAGATGAGTGCCGACCCAAAGCCAATATTGCTCAGATTCAGGGCCCACGCTGAAGCGCTGAGCCTGAGTCTGACCCCTAAAGGGCTGAGTCTGACTACTGAAAGGCTGAGTCTGAGTACTAAAAGGCTGAGTCTGACTAGTAAAATGCTGAGCATTCCTAAGACTGCTAAGGTAATATCTCGATCAAGTTAACTCTTGACCGGAAATATGCGACATATGGTCCAGCGAATCCCCGTGTTACTTGCGATGCTAAAACCAAGTAATGTAAAAGTGCAAGTGTTTATTTAGCAACAATTAACCCATGCGGTAATCGAATACGGGATGCGCACCGTGCGTTACTTATACTCATAAAATAAATCTAGTTTTATTTTGGCCGGAAATGTCGACTAGCGGCTACAGTTATGGTTTATTCTTTCTTTTTTGCTCAAAATTCGTGTTGCTGCAGTTATACTCATAACGCGCATCCCGTATTCGATTACCGCATGAGTTAATTGTTGCTAAATAAACACTTGCACTTTTACATTATGTACTTGGTTTTAGCATCGCATGTAACACGGGGATTCGCTGGACCATATGTCGCATATTTCCGGTCAAGAGTTAACTTGATCGAGATATTACCTTAGCAGTCTTAGGAATGCTCAGCCTGTTAGTAGTCAGACTCAGCCTTTTAGGGGTCAGACTCAGACTCAGCGCTTCAGCGCGGGCCGTCTGACTCTTCGTATTAACCGAAAGATGCTTTAACCAGCAATTTAATACTTTAATGGCAGCCCCTGTGCTGACTTCCACTATTGGTTATTCTTGATGCTGCAGATCATATATGCAACCATAGATACTTATGTTAAAAATTGAACGAATCGTTTCAATCGTCTGCAAAATAGGACAACACGTTCCAATGAAAAACCGGGCCGACTTCCAGCTAGCTTTATAATAATTATTAGGGTGACACAATAGCCACCCCAAACAGCCCTTCTTTTTAAAGCATCCCCTTTTCCGCACTCTGTTAATTATAGGCAACCTTTCTAAATTGATTAATTTATTTTTTAGACACCCTGTTTTTGAAGCACCCTTTAAATGAATTTTCGAGATTTTGTGCGAGTGTGTAACAGCTTAAACCGTGACGTTCTTCAGTCTTCCGTGTTAGGCAGGTTGTAAAACGTGGCAGTGGCGCCTGCCAGTGGCGTTGCCAATGGCATGGCAGGCGATAAAACCTGGAAACTCTGGCAACTGGCAAACGCTAAATTCTGGCAGATGCCGCATAAAGTATGGCGACCCGTATACGCGAGTTGGAATGTAGGCTCAACTCTTAGTAATTTTTGCAAATGGAGCCAGTTTACAGTCAGTTTAAAAAAAGGGTCGACATCGCTGGCCATTCACTTAGTGTGTAAAAAAGCGCCGCTATAAAAATTTCTAAAGGTTACATTATATTTTGCCGTCTGCGCAGAAAGTTTCAATTATAAATACTGACAAGGCGCATTGGAAATACAACCGCCACACTTCTTGAAAGCGCGCCTCTGGAATATGCCTTGCGGTTGAATACAAGCTAGGCGCGCTTTGTCGGTAAAATGCTAACATTAGCGTCGTAGCTGAGACATTTTCCAAATACGCACAGACAACACGAATTTGAAAGGTTTTTCGGCAATTCTCTTAACAAAAGAATTTCTCCGCACACAAGTTGTATAGCGCCACATATGAAGTACGGATACAAGCCCGTTTCACATCACATCGCGCTACCGGTTTTGTTTACTCGTTATTGCACGACTACGTCACTACCAAACCATATATGCATACTTACATGAGTGATTCTGAATGAATTTTGCAACACAATTAGCGTGATCTTATAAAAACATTAATTTTGATAACACGAAAGTTTAGAACAGTTTTACTTTTATTGATTTGATTTTGCTAATTATCTTTTTGGATGGCCGCACTGCAGCACAAAAACGCACTGCAATATACACGAAACAGCTTTGCGAACATACAGACACATCGTAATCCCAAATTTAAATGTGTACCATTGCCACTCTACGGTCTACAGTAGAGTTAATTTAGTATTGAATTCGGTTCACAATGTACAACGTTGACTGTTTTAACCTATTTGGCGTATTTACCTAGTGTCTAGTTTGACACAATTGTCAAATGTTGCCTGTGAATGGACCGCTCGCTTCCGCTGTCGGCAAATTCATTAGGGTGAATCACTGATTTTCAGTTTAATTTTTACGAAAACATTATCTACATATCTGTAAAGTCACATTAAGTAAACTTTCTGCGCAGAATTTACATGTAAAGAGTAGTACGTCGAAGCGCTAAAAAATAGCAACCGCAATAACACAGTTTACACTTTAAAGCATGAAATAAATTGAGAGCGTGCGAACTGTGATTAAAAAATCATTCTATGGCGATACCAATACTGCATGTTCACCAATTAAAAATTAATACTGTACTAATTGACCTAACATTAGTGGCACAGGTGCTCTTACCTTTACAGTCAAAAAATTGATTGAATGAAAATATTAAGCACTGTAATGCCAAGGCAATGCTTTAAACTAAACTTTAAACATACCCAGTTGTACTCCACTCCATGCGGTACTATTAACGACATACAGTTTCGAACCAGAGGAATTATATGGTCATAATTGCTTGCAAAGCATTACGAGATCATCTCTGCAACAAAATTGCCGTTATCAAGTGAAACCAAGCTTTTGCAACAAGCTCAACAGTCGTGTTTTGACTGGCGACTACCACATGCAGCTGGGTGGACAACAGTGTCATGTTTTAATTTTTAGTGTCCTCTGGTGCCGGTTCGGTTCAGTGTTTGTTAAGTGTGCATGTGAACTTTGCTACTATTTTTTTTTTAAAAACTGGCGCCTTGTATGTCCGCACTTTTACAGTCACAAGGGTAGCTCCACAAAGTTGCTCAAACAACCAGCCTATCTTCTAATTGTGGTAGCTTATTATTTAGCCCGTTGTGTTTGTAGTTTGTACATAAGGGCGAAAATAAATCATAAGACACAACCAGATAGAAAACTCGAGCGGTACCGCTACAGCGGTATTCTGTTAAGCGCTGAACGATAGTGTGTATATACTTACGTTAAGTCGGTTAAGATCAGCTGCGTTGAAAATTTGAAGCTTTTGATCATCCTGACTCAAAATATTGTAGCCGTACAAATAAGATGTGCAGTGTTACAGTAACCATGATGAGCATTTCATTGGTGCTAGCTGATGCGGAAACATCTGAATTTGTACTTGTACGAATCTTCACTTTTATCGTGGATTTCTAGACTGGTTTGGGAAATGTCTAACTGATCTAAAATCATTCTTGCTCTTGCCCTTGCCCTTGCCCTTCTCCAATGTTTTCAGCTGAATAAAAATGTGTGCGTACGCGTTGACAATGTGTTCCGTTGCCGGCTTTCGTTAAGAGTTAATTACATAAGCGATCTTAAAGTAATTCGTTAACACCACCAGAACTTCCGATCGTGGTACGGGTGGATTAACCCAGTCCACTAGAGATAACTTAGAAGTTGTCACTGCAATATGCTGTTTTCATAGAACCTAATAATTTCGGCACCTACCGTTACCGTCAAGTTTATGAAATAATGCGGACTCCAGCAAGTTTGACAACCGATCATAGTGAGACGGGCTACGCGGAAAAACTATGCATATGTCTTATGCATGCGCTACATATGAAATCTCAGTGTTCGAATATTTTCCCAGTTTGCGGGGTAGGTTACAAGTAGCTTATTTTGGGCTTTCACGTTTCTGGTCTTATTATTGACTTTTGACATTTCACAGTTTTTTAGTTTAAGTTCGATATGTTTGAACGCACTATACTGTATTTTTAATGCACGTATCACCGCTTAAGTCAAAATTTTGTTAAATAACATGATAATTAAAGGATTATATAACCACAAATAATTTTGAAGAGATACTTAGACAGTCGGGAAATTATGCTTAGACGGTTGTGAAAATTATGAATCCATAATAACTCCGTTATTTTTTTTCCTGAGCTGCATTTGCCGCTATTTATAGTAGACAAGCAAATATCACACCGATAATGTTTATGATTTTAGTCGCAGCGCTGCATAGCATTAACGGATTACAAAGAGTTATGCATGTACAGTAATTTGGAGCACTTGTTCGTAATAATTTTTGTATCGAGCGCAGCAAAATGATGTGGTTTGCAACCACTGGTTAGCTATAATATTATTTTCACATTCGTAATACAAGCAAGTATTTAACTAATAGAGCTGGTAACGGAATGCGCAGTAGACCATCTTTGCATTCTGTGGTTACAGCATAGTTAAAGAACACGATATATTGTATGCTGTATGTTAGGCTTGTGAAACGTATAACACGGGCACCGTAACAATAATAATGGGAACGCGCTGTGAACGGTATTCTCCCACGTTTACTGGAATAAACTTTTCATTTGAATTTATTTTTGTAACCGATGTTCCTGTGCAAATGTTGCGAAAGCGTTTTTGCAGGGAAACGACCAGACGCTGAAGTCCGTTAATCGGGTTGTCTGCTCTTGATGTAATAAAAATAATAATAGATAATAATAGAGTTGGACGCTTTGTTCGTACTATCGTACATATACGAGAAGTCCCAGAGTTCTGCTACTTAAATGCCGATACGGCATTACTGTATCCGCCTATGGCAAGTTACGCTGCTTTTAACTCTGGACTAGTCGTAATTATGGCTTCCGACTTTGAAGCAATAATCTTCAATTTGAGTTTTGCTACTAGAGGCCGGAGGGATATTCTACACAGGGTTTAACATTAAACCCGGATGTGACAAAATTTTATTGGTTTAGTTACAGGGTTACACCCTGACCTGGGATAACAGCTTGCGTAAGTGGTGTGTTTGCTCACTTTGCTGCATCGTCTACCGTGCTGGTACTGTGCAGACTGTGCTTTACACCTTACCACACTTATTACTAACCACTTTTTCACTTGTATTTTTAATGAGCATTGTCTTTCATTTTTATTATGGTACTTTGCGCACAAAGGCAAGAAGAAAAGTGACCCTTTAAAGTTTGACATGTGTTACACGCACTTCGTGCAAGGCGAGTGTTGTGAGGTGACCCGCTCAACATGATAATTATTATAGTATGATAGTTAGTAGGATACATGACAGCTTGAAAGCTTCTTACTGTATATAAGGGAATACATGGTGCTGAGCTCAACATGATAGTCCTTGTAAATACTACTGAGTACAGCCTGTACAGGCAAAATTGTCAAGATTTATACACTCGACCGAACAATCCGAACTCGCGTATACGGGTCGCCATACTTTATGCGGCATCTGCCAGATTTTAGCGTTTGCCAGTTGCCAGAGTTTCCAGGTTTTATCGCCTGCCATGCCATTGGCAACGCCACTGGCAGGCGCCACTGCCACGTTTTACAACCTGCCTAACACGGAAGACTGAAGAACGTCACGGTTTAAGCTGTTACACACTCGCACAAAATCTCGAAAATTCATTTAAAGGGTGCTTCAAAAACAGGGTGTCTAAAAAAAAATTAATCAATTTAAAAAGGTTGCCTATAATTAACAGAGTGCGGGAAAGGGGATGCTATAAAAAGAAGGGTTGTTTGGGGTGGCTATAGTGTCACTTATAATTATTATACAGCTAGCTGGAAGTCGGCCCGGTTTTTCATTTGGAACGTGTTGTCCTATTTTGCAGACGATTGAAACGTTTCGTTCAATTTTTAAAATACGTATCTATGGTTGCATCTATGATCTGCAGCATCAAGAACAACCAATAGTGGAAGTCAGCACAGGGGCTGCCATTAAAGTATTAACTTGCTGGTTAAAGCATCTTCCGGTTAATAATGGCTTTGGGTCGGCACTCATTCATCTGAGCTGCGTTTTTAATTCGCAGATGACAGATAGAGCAAATCGACATGTTTCTGACTGACTCATCCGTGTCTATTAACTTTAGTCTACAATACTAGTGTACTGGGGCAAGCAAGAAAGCGAGTCCGATGTTGACTGCGGCTTGAAAAGGTTCACATGCAACTTGCGTGCGTATTGCTGATGCCTCAATCAATCGGATTTCAAACACCGCCACCGTACCACTACTCATGAACAGTATCAGGTTTTCAAGGCAGCGATTTGCGATTTCTCCGATTTCTGCAAAATTCGAATGCAAATGTCTAGCTGAAGCACTTGAAAAGAAAGAGATCACGCGTTGCCCTAAGAGAATTGGTCGGAAGCCAATAAATGAGCTAACCAAGCAGAGAGTCGATATACTACAAGAATGGTGTCCGAGCAAGCTGTTGTTACTGGATCAGTCGAACAGGCCCATTATTGGGAGGAAAGCATAAGTCATGAATCGGTGTAGAATCAAAATTCTTCAAAACATCACGAAAATCACGCGTTGGCCTAAAAATACTGAAAATTTTAAAAATGAAAAATTAAATGGGTGTCTGCAGAAAACCAAAATAGGGTGTCTCTATTTAATTAATAGCAGAAAATGGTGTCTATAAAAAACAGGGTGTGAAAAGAGGTGGCCATAAAAAACGGGGTCGCTATAGTAATTTTCTAATTATTATTTATGCATTATTATGTGCATTATCATGTACATTAATAATAATGTGCTTATTAATTCATGTACATTTCTAACCATGTCATTATTATGTACATTATGTAAATGCACATTATCTGCACGTGGGAACAGAAGAGCGTCTGAATATCTGTTTACACTGGTCGACCCAAATGACTGACATTAGAATGCAGAAGGTTCAGTGTTATCGGCTGTTTCTGCTCAGTCAGCTGTTAACATTTTGGTTCACGTCTGTTGTTTACGACTACTTCTTACTAGTGCAATTTTAACAGTTGATTGATTGTATCTACAGCGTCTTCTAGACAATTCAGGGTACCCGCTATGTTCCGTTATCAACAAAAGAGGGTTAATTGTTTCTGATGTGGTAACGTGTGAAATCCCCAGTGACAGGTTTCACAATTGCTTCTTGCCCTTACTCATTCGCAATGACATTTAAATTGTAACCATTATTTCCCCGCTGTTATCGGTCGTAGAATTGTCAAGGTATTGGCAATCGACCAACTGAAACCATACATTGCTTTAAAGAGGTTTATCTGTTATCAACGTCTCTAGCCCTTTGGTTTTGCAAGCTCAATTGTGTCAAATGAAGGATACCACACTGCTATCGGTCATAACCAAAATTATTATCAACAGCAGACTGAGCAGAGGCAACACACACAATGGAGGCTAAATACTATGTATTATAAGTGAATGTCACGTGGCTGCCAGCGGTTTGTACCAAACTGCTAATTACCGAGTGATGTTTGCTATATTATTTAATAGAATACCCTTAAAATCCAGTTAGACTTTTTGCGAATGGTGGAAGTGGTAGCACTTCTTGTCAAGTTGACCGTTACTGTTCTTTGCTCAACATGGTAAAATTGCGTTGTATAATTTGCTCCATCCTCGTTCTGGTTTTTGCCGAGGGTCTGCTTGCCATATACAACGGAAGCAATGCCTACGACCATGATAACCCGTTCCAGGCGGCAATTCTATTCAGTAACGTCACGATAAAGAAACTTGTGTGGAAAAAGTACATTTGCACCGGATACGTAGTAAGTCACTGCACTGTCCAAGATTATTGAGTAGACTGAGATCAACATATTAACCAGTTAAAGATAGAGAATGTGTCTTTATTTTGCTAGAAATTTTAGTTCGTTGATATTGTGCTTTGGTTTTATTTCAACTAAAACCTGCCATACATGCAAAACAATTTCAACAAACAGTTAAACACTGCTGAACATTTTCAGCAAACAGTCAACGCTTTTGATTACAACTTTTTTTGAACAGATATCCAGTCGCTGGATTGTCACAGCTGCTCATTGCTGTGCAAGATGCAGCCAACTTCAGGACTGCAGCGTTCTTTTGGGAACGAGTGACCTGTCAGCCCATTTCTCCAGACACGCGAAGCATATGAAGTTTCAACGGGCTGAACAGCATCCTGCTTATCAATCCGGAAACACGACCTATGACATTTGCCTCCTACAAACGCGAAAGGTACCCAGTTCTAATCAACATAGAGGTTTTTTGTCACACTCAGATTTTTTTGCACCGCTCCCTGATCCATCGCATAATACAATGCTTTTAAAATACGCACTTATAAATAAAATTTGTTTTTAATTCAGGTGATTAAATTTAACAACGATGTGGCGCCCATTTGCTTCGCAAATCCTGGGCTTCAAATAAAAAACGGAACGAATTGTACAATGGCTGGATGGGGCTCCATAATATGCCACAGAGATTTCCCGTTCGAAAACGAATATCCGGAAGAAGAAAAGCCACTTGTGCGGCCTCCCAATTCCACTAGGGAAGCATTTCTTTTTTACATAAAGGCACCTGTATACAGATTACAGACTTTATCGGATGTACAAAAGGAAAGTTCAGAATATTGCACAAGCCGTGCACTTGATCCAGGCGTAGCGTGCGCCAGGAGTCTACCTAATGAGGGTCCATACACTGGTGACAGTGGTGGACCTCTTAAATGCACAGCGTCGGACGAATACGAATATGCTTTTGCCACGTTCAAGCGCAAGTAAGCATTCGAACTGAAACTGCGGAGTGAGGATGAGGTCAACGAAATATAAGTTGGAAATTTTGTTAAAACACCGCGTACCAGAACACACAGGGAGGCTTCCCATTCAGAAAATTCAGAGTGTTTGCAGGAAGGTAGTATTGTTTATCTACGTAGCATAATTTAAAAAATAATTTCAGCTGCTGTAATCAAGACGAGCATGGCCAAGCGCAAACTGAAAAGTACCCACTACCACATACTAATAAGTACAAGCCAGCATAGGCTTTACAAATGGCAGTCATGTTGTGGGCATTGCAGTAAGCCATTAGCCGGGACTCTTCCATCTACCGAGCATTTAGCCAAGTGGTACCCGCGTGCGGTGGTCTCTGCCAACGCTAAATTGTCAGCTTTCAGAATTCAGCATTTTCTGGTTTTTGTGTTTGCTGATTAGCAAAAGATAGTTTGTTGCACGATGTGCATTTAAGCATAAATAACAACGCAGTTTTGACAGTACTAGGCAATCTGAAAGCGCTGGCAGAGACCACCACACGCGGAAATCGCTTAGCTAGATGCCCGAAAGCTGCAAGACCCCACGGCTAATGGCTTACTGCAATGTCCGCAAAATGACTGCTACGCGTAAAGCTTGTGCTGGCATTGTATTAGTATGTGGTAGTGACCCAGTGGGTACAATTTAGTTTGCGCTTGGTAACGCCCATCTTGATCACAGCAGCCGAAACTATTTTTTTAATTATACTACATAGGTATACTACCTTTATGCCAAAACTCAGATTTTTCTGAATGAGAGCCTCCCTATGTGCCCTGGTTAGGTTAGCTAGAGAATAGAGATTAAATTCTAAAAGCAGTAAAACGGAGCCGATTACTTTAAACCGAAGTACATTCTCTTATGTGGTAATCTTCACATCCTGCATACATTGAGAATATTCAGGTCGTTGAAGACCATCAGTTTGCTAAACAACAATAAACAAAAATCTATGAGAACTATGGCTACAACTATTGCAATATACAACTATTGCATCTTTAGAATTTTTGCAGCGTGTGCATGGTGGAAAATTACCCCGCTGAGTACACTGATAATCAGCTACCGGACATCTTCGAGTGGGTACAAACGATGGTCGGCGAGCACGAGCTAAATAGGATCTGCAGAAATGCAACGGAAGACTTTCCTGTTGCCGAGTTTTTATCAGAGGAAGATGAGTCAATACGCTCAGTGTATGCTTTCGGTGTAACTATTAGCATTTTATTAATGGTAACCTTTTTTGGGGCGTTAAGACTTTATGCAGTACTTCGCAAACGTCCCGAAAGTAGAGAGCCAAGAAATGATGTTGAAAATTTGCGCATGCGTAGTTTTGATTTGCAAAAGCTGTTGTAAAGAAAGGTTACTAGAGAAAAGCGTTCAAAATCAGACTATCGCTAGAACTATCCTGTTTTTTTTCAATGCGAAGTCGCTGAGATATTGCGACGTAAGTGTTCCATTTATTGCACCTTGTGAATCACCGAAAGTGAATTGCTATTCAAGTTTTAACTAACGCTACGTAGCGGACACCTGGAATAGCCGAAGCAATAAAAAGCAATCACGAACTTCAGAACCATATAGAAGTAATAACGACACATACTTTGCATAAACAAGATGGGTCAGGAAAAAGTCAAGACTGCAGCATTAGTTCAGTCAATCACTGACCTAACAGGCGCTGTGCACTGGACAGCTGAGGATGTTACATAAGATCGGCTGTCAATGTCCTGTGAGCGTGAATAAAATTCAACTCTCCCCCTTTGCATTCTTATCGTTTGTAAAAAGCCATATTAACTGTATTTAATATAAGTAAAAGTTAAAGATTTAGAAGCACAGTTGAGTATTAATATAGTATTAACCGAAGGCGGAGCCGCAGGCAACGCCGAACTGCGGCGCAAGCGGAGCTCGCGGAGCAGCAAGCGAGCCTTCCATTTTCTGGATAAAAAAAATGTAAATAAGACAATTCCCAGTGTCCAAAGTAGTCTGAAACTTATTCAGTGTACGGGTAGCTATAATATATTATGCGCAAAAAAAGTAATTAACATACCACTTAAATTAGTGCTTAAACTGAATACCACCTAAATTAGTGCTTACCGCTTAATTTGAATTACCAACTTTAGAGAATTTCAAAATAATTCGATAGCAGAAAAGTTAGTAACGTAAACCGATTACCATAAGTTTACGTTATTCGCTAAGTGACCGTCAATAATTGTGGTGGACCGATCAGTTCAAATCAACCGTCTGTGTTCTGTGGTAAACTTATAAAAAAAAAAATTTCTTCTCCGCTTAAATCAAAGGCATTCAAAACACACGTCTTTTGATGCAACCAAAACGTTGCTGTACGGACAACTTTGAATATAACACGCAATTTGCTTATGCAGTTAGCGGGAAACAGCGACTGATGCTGTTTCCGGTAGGCGCGCGCCGGATATATATTCAATACGTAAGACGAAGGGGCGGGCATGGCTGGACATTTTGCAACTTCTTTGTTACAGGGGGTTGGGTGACGGAAGGGTTTTCATGCGCTGCAGGCCGAAACCATGGAAAACAATGAAAAAATCATTTTAATAAAAATAGTTTAATTTTATAATGGACGGTTGGGCTTTTTGCTACGTTTGCGGTAATTGCGTTGTAATAATTCGGTCCTTAGCGCTATACAACTAGAGAGTGGAGCTGAAAAATCGTTTGAAAAAAAAACGTTACGCAAACTGGTGTCGCGATGTTAGTGCAGCTATGGTGCCGGGTAGAGCGTAGCTTTAAGTGCAGTGTATGAAAATTATTAATGCTATGGTACATTTAAATTGAACTTATATTTAAAATGCATGCATGCAGTTTAGACATAACATCATTTAATCCGAATTAAGCGTCACATTAATTGTAAAAATCAAGCATAGAAGTATTTAGGAATACGCTAAAAAATGACTGAAAAAATTGTTTTTAAATCATTTAATTAAGGTAAGTTATTTGCACAGTAGTTTCTTCCGCGCAATTTGCGCGGGGTCTACTAGTATTAAAAGTATTTTTCGTTCAAAGGATTTACTACGAAGTTATTTGAAGTAAATTCTTTTAACACTTATCCATAATAATTCAGTGGACTCGTCAAGTGGTGGGGGATTGTCGGACACTGTCTGCGATAAAAACAGCCCGAATCCCAGAAATCGGTTGCAGCGCATGCGCATATTCCCATCGTCGGACATCCAAGGCGCCGGCTGTTAACAGCCGGCGCCTTACAGATATTCAAAAATCCTGACCAATTAGATTGAGCTTCTGCACGCAGAGATAAAATGCTAAGATGCAAATTGTTTTGTTGCTGACAGTGTCCGTTGTTCCACCAACTACTTGATAAATCTACAGAATTATTGCCAAGTATTTAAAGTAGATATTTCCACTTTCATAGAACTGTTAGCGCAGACGTGGACAAAAACGTATGAATTCAGTGGTATCAGAAAATTCCCTGGGAAATGCGCAATGCATGGTACCTGGAACGGAAATGGAGGTGGTTCGTTAGCAGTGCTGGCCAAGCGACGCGGTATAAGAAGTGTGTAGCCGCTCACGATAGTTGCCTGCTACAACACAACGTTCCTAAGAGGGCCTACGATAGCTGTCTGCTGTGAACAGCTGCTTGATTCTTCTCAAAGATGTTTGATATTCGGCTGCTGCGCATAACCGGCCTGGCATTGTCTTTGACCCTCCACGGCGACGACACCGAGTACACCATCCCGCCAGGACAACCGGGTGGCTTCACACCATATGTTCTCATCCAGAAACCCTGGCCGGATGGCCAAAGCAACCACGGACGCATGGTCGACGCTGCAAGGGCTTTAGCTAAAATCATAGAAGAATATTTTGATGACTATCTCTACGCGGGGATGAACAAGTGCGCCGTGGACAGATATCTCCACTGACGTGAATGCGTGGCGGGATACAGGAACAGTGATTTTGTGCAGAGCCTGGCAGCATAAACGCAGCTTCCGCGATGTTCTTCCATACCGCTTCCATTTGTCCCCAGCGAACCAGACTGAACCCCTTAAGTATCGCGATCTGTACGCGACGGCTGGCGACATATTTCAATGTGAGCCTGGTCTGCAAGTTATTCCGGCGGAATATCCGCTGTGTCGTATTAGCCATATTTCGCGAGCAATTGTGGTATAATTCGGGTGTTATGTAGCCGATGTTAGCACGATGGAGCAAGTTGCGACCATTCCTGAGGGAGCCTACATCCCGTGCCGCCTCCGCAATGCTTGTCCGCAAGTTAGGAACGAAACAGGGACCATCTGGTGACGTCTGGACCTTGGCGGCCAACCCCCCAGTTACTGTGCTTTAGGCAGTCTTGGAATGATGCCTTTATAACTTTTGCTCGCTATAATCATTTTAATGTGAGCTTCGTCAATCATTTTTTCTTTTGTATCTGTCCTAAACTGTTCATCCAGTGTTATGTATTGTTACCGCGAATAAATGTTTGTCGTTATTGATGTATGGAGCAGCAGTAAGACCACATCCGAGAAAGATGATGTGCCTTCGTCAGCATAATTATTGCATTCACCGTAAAGAAGCCGCCGGCGTTTTCATACACATGGCAGGTACAATTTATTGCACATTGTCGAGGAAGTCCTCGCATAACCTTGCACACGTTTATCCGTAAACTATCTTTCAAGCCTTCATGTTACGTCTGGGCTCGAAATTAGCTGACACTGAAAATACCATTACACAGAGCACGTGTTGGTTCTTACGCCAGTGAGTCTGAAAAAATGTTCACGGCAGAGAACTGGCCCCCAAACATCGGGGTGCGTGAATGGCAGTTCACCCCTAAGGAGCAGTAGTTGCCGCTGTCTCGTATGCATCATCAGACTTCTGTTTTCTAGTACTTAGTTTGTACTTTCACATGATACTTATTAAAGGTCCAGTACCTAGAGCACTTTTTCACATGTTTATTGTTTCAAAACGCGTTTCTTGGTTGCTTTAATACTGGACACTGCCAACGATAAATCATGATAAATCCGGAATGTTTTACGTGTAGCGTGTATTTACGTATGCGTACGATGGTAACGTGATGTGCACCTACTTGTATGAATGTCTCATAAATCTTGTGCTGTTAATATTGTGCCATTAACTGCTGGCCAGTAAGAAAATAACCGGGAAACACATATCCTAACTAATGCACAGTATATTACAAAACTGTCCGGCAGAAAACTGTAAGTGGACATTTTTACCAACACGGATTCTATTTGTCGGGTAAGCATTTTGTCGATCAGCAAACATTGTCACCAAGTTGTCGATAAGCAAAATAGATGTCAGCAAATTGTCGGTGTGTCAACAAGCACACTACGGTATGAAGGTAGAAGTTATTAACAACAATTAATGTGGAACGGACAGAAAAATTTAATAATGTGCAGCGTGCATTTCGTACTTTTATTGGAGCTTATAATACTTACAATAGGTGATCTGAATCGCATAAATATGCAGTTATGCCAAATAATACCAAAATTTCAGATTAGCAGGAACAATTGTCAGAACTTAATAAACCCGAAATCGACCCGGACTCAACCGGTCGTTCTCGCGTACGACCAAACGTTTCACCGCATAACAGTCTGCCGCAGGAAAATTTTCATTTCGCAGCGGCATTTTCGAGGTTGCAACGTCGTATGGCGAATACAACTCGTAATTCTCCAATTTTCGTTACAGAAGGTAGGAATATTTGCAGGAATTCTAGTGTTGTGCCTTCAGTGGTGGACCGCTTTTATGCATTTCAAGTTTGAATCCACATAAGCGGTCCTCGGCTGTCGGCTGTGAGAGGGCCGGTGTTGTCAGGGACTGCCGGTGCACCGCAACGGTAATGCAGTGGGTCGCGCAACGGCAAATGAGAGACAAACTTGTGCTAATGATTTTGCAATGAAAGAGAGTATAGATCACTTACCGGTATTTATACGCATGCTATGTTGGTTTTAACTGCAAACTGTCCTTGCACTGTGCACACAAACTATATTTAATATTGTATCAGTAACTGATAACACTGCGCACATTGCATTGCATAATTTCAGCCACAAACCGCTGTTTAAACATTAAAGAGCTAACTATTCTCCCAGTGAAATAGCTGCGTTACCATTTAGGGATTTCCTAGGCCGTAGATAACAGAAGCACACAACAATGGATCTCACAGCAATAAGTAGACTGTAGACTGGACCGTTTAACCTTTCACTGTCTGTTTGCATGTGTGTCAGCCTCTTTGTTATCTTCGTCGGTTTGTTGACAGCAACAAACTGCACAATTCACCCGGGTAGTAAATCCTTAGGTCCAAACAATTACGGCGCTCTTTTCTGTCGTTACATATGAATGCTGTCTCTAACTGATAACACTGCATAAGCGTTTATTGGCACTGGCTTTGAAGCAGTTGCAACATTCGACAATTCCTAGTTGTTTTACGTGTAAAGGAGGCCGTGAAATAAGAAAATTAAATGTTTAAAAGTAAAAAACATTTAAGAAGAAAATATTTTTAAAAGAAGTACATATTACGCTGACCGCTAAATAAAATTGGAAAGACCCAGCAATTGCCCACCAGTATTAGCAAAGCTAATAATAACAGGTAAACTTGGATAATAAAAACATAAAAAAGGTCAAATAAAGTTTTGGAAACAACAAATGGAAATTAATTATTTACCAAAAACAATAAAAACCTATTCGGAGAAAACATTTACATAAGCGTAAGAACTGATTAAACTGGCATAGTCACAAGAAACCTTAGTCTGAGTATGAATTTTATTTCATAAATACGAGTTTCACATTACATAACGAAAATAGTTAGTCACAAATTCACAGCAACAGAATCTTATTTAATGCTGCCGCCCCTTCCATTGTTCCAGGTACACAAGTGGCGTTGCCTCGCTGAATTTCCAACGATATTCGCTTGCGTAGGAACTCATGGGAACGAGGTTCACCTGTTTGGAGCTGGAGTCGCTTCCCAATTTCTTTAATTAGAGCGATGGCCGACTTTCCCCACGGTCCGAGAGTTTCGAAGGCTAATGGCGCGAAGATGTATCTTCCCAACAGACACAAGTACAGTCGCACTTTTCTATCTTCGGCCTGCGCTGCAGCGGATCCAGCAGAAGCTGACGTGAATTTTAAGTGAGACAGGGCGACGGTATCGACACAGGTGACGTCCCACGCCAAGCACATACCGCGTTTCCAGGCAAAGGTCGTGCACCCATCCGGGCGACGATCCGACGTGTGGGATGTTCCGCGCGGCTCCAGTTTGGCAGGGATGCCCGCTGACACCAGCGCTCTGCAGACGATATTGTTCAGGCCGCCGTGACGCGGATGTCTTCCAGCAGAGAAGGAACAGGATAAGCCGTGGTGGCCATATGCATCAACGGGCTTGTGACACTTGGCGCATGAATGCGGCTCACAGATGGAAACGCCTAGCCTCAAACCGACTGAAATTTTTACCGTGTCGTCATCAAGGAGATTGCCGATGTGTGCCGAGGGCAAGGCATTCAACCACAAGCCAGCTTCTGGTGTCGACTGAGCCAGGAGGCGGGCCCGGTTGACATCGTCGTCGCAAAAGATCTACAAAAGTAAAGACAGTGATGCGTTGCACAGCGGAAGGTCCCATGCTCGTTGTGTCTTACGGACGTTTAGCTCAGGAAGTTCATCGAGGCGCGCTTTTGACTTGGACCGAAGGATGGTCAGGAAGCAGTAGCGACACTATGCCGGATACGGAATGAATCGAAGCCAAAAACGCTGGTAGCGCTAATTCTTCCGCCCGACGAATGCCAATACCGCCTCTGCTTACTGGTAGTGTCGCCTGCCGCCAGCACGGGTAGTCGTATGGGCCGTGCGAACGTTGCACAGAGTTTGGAAACATTGCCGCGTGGTTTCGTCCAGCTGACAAAGCTGTTGTGGCTGCTTCCAGGCATTGCAGCCACGCAGCATGTAAATAATTTTCGGGGCGCCTAGGCAGTTTTTCAGGAGGAAAAGAGCGTGGTGACGTGGCAGGAGCTCCAACCGTTCACATGCCGTTTTCACGGTCGAGCACTTTTCGGCCACGGCTGGGCCAATAGCATCGTCCAAAACCGGTGCACCTAATAGTAAGAAGTCGGCATCTGAGAGAATGCGTAGCCGTGGGTACATCTCCAGAAAATCTGCAACGGCATCATCTCGTTCTTGCTGGGTTCCTCCGGAGATGTGAAGCTCGCACTTCGCTTCGTTCACCACTAGACCGATTTCGCGGGCTTTCAGTATAATCTGGCCAAAAGCGTGCGCTACTATCTTACTACTTACCGCTTACGTGCGCTATTGTCTACTACTTACCGCCCATGGTTCCGTCGTCCAAAAACCAGGCGTTTAAATCCGCCTTTAAAGATGCTACAATCGGCTGGAGTGCAAGGCAGAACAGTAACGGGCCCAGTGGATCGCCTTGTTGTACTCCAGATTCCGACGACATAATCAGCTACTCGATGAAAAGCGAAGAATGATCACCATATGCAGTGCATTATGCACTTCGTAGAAACGCTGTGTATTCGGGTAAACGGTGTTAAAGGCGTTCTTGAAGTCCACTTTCAAGGTAACCGTTAACTCCGCTACTGATGATTCAATAAACGTTCTTGCCGCGTGCACTATTGCCTCTGCACCACCACGCACGTTAAATCCTAGCTGCTGAGGCGACAAAATGGGTGCCATGCGGTCTGCTACTCGGTGGCATATAATCTTGGCTGCAAGGCGGCGAAGGGTTAGTCCAACCGCTATGGGTCGGAGACCACCATCTTTTTTCCTCAGTGCGAGCAGCTTACCACCAAAAAATACCGGTCGAATTTCAGCTGGGATACTTCCACTTAGGGCCAGATTCAGAACACTTGCAAGCGTCTGAGTTGCAGTAAAACCCTGCTATTACACACATCTCCGTTCTTAGCTCCCCGAATGTTGTAAAGAGGTGCATGTTACATAGGGACACTGCCCCTAGGGGCGGTTATTAGCATACCCCCAGAGGGTAGGCCATATATTGATCAAAGTATAAAAGAACGGTGCCGCTGATGATTTGCTTACAGATATACATTCATATTATTTCTTCAAAATGGACACTGCCGCTTTTTAATTGCATTCATTTTCAAAAAGATACCGTACCAGTGGCAGTTTATACTTCGGAATAAATAGGTAGTTTTCATTTTTAACCCTGTTTTGCTGTTTCTTACTGTCAGATTCAGTACTGCGCAGATCTAAAACAAAAACCGGAACTTTCTTCGAAATTTTAGTGCGCTTATTCGGCCAGCTGTACGTTACGCAGGGGTTTGGCTGTATGTGAATTACTGTCAGCCGTTCCATTATTATTATCTTCCTGGAGCAGACAACCCATTCATGGGACTTCACAATGACATCGCAAGTGTTAAATGGCATTGCTTTGTCTGGTCGAAAACAT